GTACAAGAATGCACTTTATCTGTTTTATGGTTGAGGCCGAGATTGAAAGCTCCTCCCCCACAAATCCCTCCGTTTGGCTTCGTAAGTAGGTGTGATGATGGGAGGGACCACTTCCTAAAGTGAAGATGTAAAGCCAATCTTCCCCATGAACTGGAGAGAGTTTCTGTCAAACTGTTCAATTCTTCCACCTTAATAGTTCGGTAAAGTGGGTAGTTTGGAGTAATAAGCAGTTGAGCATTCTTAGGTGAATAAACTCTGCAGTGGTTCTCTTTGGCATCATTGTATAGTGATTAGCTAAGCCATTTTCTTTAATGCAGTATGGAGGGAGAAAAGCAAATATCCAAACAGGAGGACTTTCCTTTAAACAAACTAGGTGATACAGAGGTAAGTAGACCTTATTTGACTGTGTGGGTTTTGCTTTTGAATGTCAGCAGTTTTAACCCATCTCTATTTTAAAGCATTGGCTGTTGACCTCAAACAGAAAATTCAAACTAATAATTTAAATAATCAGTGGTTGTAATCAACACTAGGGTAAACAAATGTCTTTCTCTTTAGTTTCATCCTTTGAAACACTGAACTAAACTAAAAGTTGGCCATATTTAGTGTCTAAACCTACTATGACTGTTTGAGATCAGTGCTGCAGCAACTCAAATACAGCACTGGGGTGACAGAATAGTTGCTGATGAAAAGCTTCTTTGATTTGAGCACACCAGCATGCCTTGTTTTGTGTCAGACAGCTGGATTCCAGATGGTTTTGAAGATCAATGGAATAAAGTTCTTGACTGAATTTGCTGCAATGTGACTTTCTGTCAAGTTAATCTTACTGCTGGAGCAGGTCTGCAAACGTTTCATTCAATTCCAGGTGAATGTTTTTTTTATAGTGTTCGTGGAAAGTAGACTGATGGAGTGCCAGGTTCATACTGATGTGCTCAAACATGTTCTCACATAAGATTAGCTGTGAAAGTAGACCTGCACACAAGAAATCTTTTTCTCTTAAAATATTCAAATCGGAGCATTGCTTCCTTCAGGGTTGGGGAACTGAGGGCTGGAGTCTGGCACAGTTTGGTGATTTTGCCCTGCTCTAGAACACCAGCTAAACCTGATGAGTTGAATTAGGTGTTGTTGGGTAGGAAATTTACCAAACTGCAGGAATCTGACCCTCCAGGACTGGAAGTCCCCACCTCTGGCCTACTTCATAGAACCCACAAGCTCAGGTGTCTTAGCAAGTAGTGTTTTTAAGTCTGAACACTTATCATATTTGGGAAATTCTCACCTTCTGGCTGGTTTCAATATAAAATGTTTAAAGAGAACGAAATCAGTATCTGTGGCTGCTCCAGGCCCAGAAGAATACCAAATAAATAAAAAAAGAGGACCACCAAATAATCAAACCAATCAATCAGGTATCTACAAGCCTGTGAACTAATCAGTCATATCCATGTGCCTGTCAATTATGTTTTGAGTCCATAACAAGACAGAAATCTGTAGCATAGCTCCCAGGCTGCAAGCTTGCATTCTTCCAAACCCCAGTGTGATAGTGCATTAGTCTGTGCAGGGCAGTGTGTCCATAGAACTGGAATCGAGAACCACTAATTTGGTGCAAAGCCAAGAGTGAACATCAGTGTGGGTTTCCAACGCTGGAAAGAGCTAAGGAAGCTGAAGGACTGCTTGGCAGGTAGTTATTTTGCATAGCATATCTGAAGTTGAGAAAGTGCAGCAACCAAACGAGAAGCTTTAGCATTCTAACACTGCGCTCTCAGTAAAAAACAGGACGTTTCAGGGCGCATGCACCGGGGTGGTACACTCACGGGTACATCTTCAGTATCTTTTGTTAAGGAACTGTTTTAAGAAAGTTATGATAATGTATAAATGTGCCCCTTTCCCTGGGGAAAGTGAATGTTTGGCACCTTAAAAATTCATTTATGGTATTTATGGATAACCTTTCAGTGTACATTTACATTGTTTGTACCTTGGGAGACTAAAATTTACCTAGATGGTGATTGGAGGCAAGACTGAAGGGGGACTGTATTTGTTTGGCTGTTTCAAATGAGTTAGCTATGCCAAAATTAATGCCAGTCCTTCAATATTCTTCTAGCTTAATGGAGAATAGAGATTTGATTTCTTAGCATCCTCCTATAATCATTTTTGGGGTGTAAAAATGCATTGGAGCATAAATATATTGATTTCAAGCTGGTGATAGAACTTTCTTTTCTATTTCATAATATGTTATTAGGATAATATTTAAGTACACTGCAAAAATGGTATCTTGTCATGTACAATTATCTTAAATATAGTCAATAAATCTAATATTAAATCTTTAATATTTCTCTGGGTGAGATTGCTGTAAGCTTAATTCAAGATTATTTAGCTTATTTCTAGACTTTTTTTGTTCTTGTTTTGTGATTTTATTAAGTAAAAGTGTCTCACTATGTGGGCAGATCATTTTGTTTGTTTAAGGAATGTGCTTTAAACCAGCAAAATTATCTGCCAGTATAGTGAGAGAATTTTACTTAATAAAATTACTTAAAGAAGTGTCTAGAAATACAGTAGATAATCTTATAATAAGTGCACAACCATCTCAAAATGTTAGATATATATATTAGATATATCGGCTAGATGTAAGATCATTTCACTTGGCAAGATGCCATATTTTTTGCAGTGTATGCTCTTATTTTTTTTGTCCAAAATAAAATTCTTTAACTATTTAAAAAAAAAAATTCAAAATGTGAGGTTTGAGTTTCGAGATGCATTAAATCTTTCATAATCAAATCAAAGGTCAGAGATTTTTCCCCTTAATAATTCCTTTCACTTTGCAGTCTCAGGGTCAGACAGGTAAAACCCACTGGCACATGGATATGAACCACTATGCTACTAAGAAGAGCGCTGCCCAGAGCATGCTGGATGTGGCTCTGCTGATGGCCAACACCTCTCAGCTAAAGACTGTGCTGCACGAAGGGCCTGAATACCGATTCTACATCCCTCTCATTGCTCTCATCGTCCTGTCCATCACCCTGCAGGTCATTGTCGGCCTGCTCCTCATATTCATTGGTAAGCTTTCACTTGAGGTTTTCTACTTGTCATATTCCATTTTCCACTTTTCATTTAGTCTCTCAGACTTTCTTTTTTCCCTTGTTACTGTTTTCCTTTTTAAGGAATAAGTTTGTTTTTTCTTCTCTCCTCTTCAGTGAAATATAATTTGAACGACATGAGGAAGCAACCTAAACTCAATATGATGAACAACGTGACCACGATCTTTGTCTTCTTTATTGTTCTTATCAATGTCTTCATCACCGCCTTGGGATTTGACTCTGGTCGGTGAGGAAAAATTAAATTTTATGATGTATGTTATTTTTTAAAGCTCAGCATTGGCATGATTACATTTTCTTTTGCAGTGAGGATTTGTGTTCAGGAAAGATGGTTTCACTAATACTGTTAACCAGAGGGCAATTTCACAGCTTCATGAAAAAGTGAATGTAGAGTCTCGGTTGAAAAGATGTTTATATTTTAACATTCCCAAAATTTACATTTTGTGGTTGTTCTATGCATTGCATAAAGAAGCCCTTTTTGACTTTTTTAAGAGTGCACTAAAGCTTCTCAACCAAGACAAATTTGTTTTGACAAATGATTGTAGGCCATATTGTTAAAACATCTACTGTTTCCCTTTTTTATTCCATGTAATATAACGGTCAGCTTTGTGCATTAAATATGTTCTCTGCCCCGTGCTCTGTTTCAGGCCTCGTGATGGTGCATGATGTTCATTCTCAGACTGACCCCAGTAGACCTGCTTAACTTCTTCTAAGAGTTCACATGCTAGATTACCTACTGCCTTCTGTCCATATTTTCTACCAACACTGGCTGTGATGAAACTCAAACTGACTGTTTAAATCCCATGTGTCGAGCTAATATTAATAGAAAAATATTAATAGAAACTTAGAATATTTTGTGGGCCAGATAGGATTGTGTCATGGGCCTTTCACAACAACAGTCCCCACCATGCACTACAACATAATGTGCACTCTCCTCCAAAAATAATCTATGGGACAGTGGTTACACCTCAATTCTACACAGTTCTACACAATTCCATACCAGTCGTATCACCAAACAACTAACTGCAGTTCAGCCAATATAAATACTTAAGTTTGGCAGCTCAGAAATTGAGCCCAAGTATTAATGAACTTGCAGCAAAGAAAGATGCCAGGTGTATAACTCAAGCAGATAGGTAAGTTTAAAAGACCGAGCTCAATTTTGATTATTTCAAATATTCATGTAGAATTTTAAGGTCTACTACAAGTGCCTATATTTTACTGTTAAAGTTTTTTCATATAATTTTGAATAAACAATGGTCAGTTCGGTTTATAGCAAAATGTTAATTAAAAGTCAAATAAAACAGGGATTCTCTGGCCCACGGATTTGTTGAGATTTTTTAATATGGCCCTTTTAGTGGTTGAGTTTGACACCCCTGGTTTAAATCTTTTCATGATATATCACATGTGGAGTGAGTTAACCCAACCCACTAGGACTATTTACAGTCTCTGTAAGGACCCACCAGGTTCAGTGACAGATGCAGGTTAGTCACTCGGGCAAAATGTCATTTTGTGCAGTGTTTTGCAAGTCATGAAAACAAACCAGGTGTGTCGCATTTTCAGTTTTTTATCATTTTTATATCAGGTGTATGAATATGCCTGTTTTACATATTAGCAGGTGGTGAACTGTGACTTTGAGCTAGGATTCCATTCGCACCATTAAAAAAACTTCATAATCCTAATTATTAATAATAAATAAAAAACATAATAATGCTAATTACTTCAAATATTTCTCATACTATGCGCATTACGCTAATGACAATTCACATGGATGTTCACAAACACAAAAAAACATAATGCTCATTTCTGCTAGCGTCTTTTACAGGATTTCTCATGGTATGTTAGTGTTATGCTAACAACGATTCACATGACCATTCACATTTTTTGGCAGTTCTAAATTAAACACACGACTTCCGTAGCTTGTTAGAGACATATAAACATTTATTTCTCCTTGTGGTAGTTTTACAGTGACTTACAGGGAAGAGCTCTGGCACAGAACTGCCACCTGCCTGCTAGCTTGACTGTATCTAGGAGAAATCCTGATTGGATGATTTTCCATTGGGCATTGTAAGAATTTAACCCTTTTATTTCAATCAAAAAAATCTATGAACCAAGAATATTGTTACAAAGAGAATGAGTTTAAATACAACAAGCATAATGATTCTTTTTAATAAAAAAATGCATGAAAATCATTTAATATGCTTGTTTCCCCATGTTTATCCAAACTTTAATCATTTTTTAGTGGATCATCCTTACTGGATTTCAGCATGCTGAACCCTTACATGTCTTTTTTAATTGCCACTCCATCACAGTGTGTACAATAGGGTCAAAAAGTCTGAGACCACATTGGACTTTTTTCATTCAAGCCTGGAGTAAACAGAAAGGCTTGTTCAAGTCTTTGAACAATTTAAAACAAAGTTATGACAATTAAAATGAAGCAGAAATATTAGAGATTCTGCACTATTTTCTAGGCTCTTCAAATCAACGCTTGTGACACTGACCATGGAAAGGCCTTTGTACAAACAGGTCAGATTTATTTTATAGTACATAAAAACACAGTTGTTTTATAGTTTTTAAAGTTCATTTTTAGTTTTTCCTTTAGTTATCCCTGCTACTGAAGCTGAACTCTCAAGTGGATTTGATTATCAGTGGCTTTTGCACAATTAGTGGAGTTCATGCCAGCTAAAGTGCACATCATTAAATGAAATGGGGGACATGCCAAATACTAAGAAGTTCTGAAATTCAGGTTAAAATGTTAAGGATTCTACTTCTAATACTAGTTGTAATGAAAAAACACATTTTTATTAAAATAGCAAAGAATGCAAAACGGAAGGATTTTCAGTAGTGGTCTCAGGACTCTTGGACCCCACTGTATGTATATGAGAAGCTACAACACAGGTTATGTAGTGTAAAGAGACATGCATGGAAAAAGCGCTACTGGGTCAGTTAATTCACAAAATTCTTTATGATGTTTTCAAAACCTGATGAGCTTATTTAATAGCAATCACAAAGGAATTTCACCAATTTAGCAGTAAAAGTGCTTCATTACAGCACCTTAGATCACCACAGACAAGTGGACATTTCCTGAACGAATCGGTTGGTTCAGTATCTTGTTACATCATGAAAAAACAAACTGCAGTGTTTTAATCAGAAACGTCTTCCTCAAAAGGACTCTTATTAAGGCTTTTTGGAATTCAAAAGTTTGTAAACAAGCAACTGAACAAGTCAGGAAATGTATGTTTCCTTAAAGCATGCTTAGGAACAACCACCTCAATCTTCAATCAAAATTAACAAGAAAATATACAGTTAGAAATGCCCTATTAAATTGGTTCCTATCATGTTTATGGGAAAAAGTTCATCATTCTACTACATGTAATATGAAATGTGCAAACATAATATAAAAATCCAAACAGCAAAATATCTGTGCTTGTAGTGCACACTCTGGATACAATGATCTAGAGGGGGAAAACAATTTGAGGACGAATTGAAAGTGATGAGGCACCTATGCATCGATTTTACCAAATGGGCCTTGCTCTGCAGACTCCATGTTTGAGTACACGTAGTAAAGAAACACTGCAACGATGATAAACACCAGGACCCGAAGCCAGCCTGGCACACCCCCTGATTTGCTGCCCTCAGATTTCGCTGGCACTGGACTAGCATCCTGTTGGTTGTATTTGCTTGTGTATGCTGTTGGTCTGGAGTAGAGTGAGCTCTGGAGGCCTGTCTGAGTGCGGCTGACGATAGGCCTTTGTGGTGGATATAGAAGCAGTTTCAATTATTTTTACAGTACAGTAACAGAAAAGATGATTTGGATACAGAAGAATGAGGTCTAGGCATAGAATGTTGGTTTGAAAGGAGAGAATTTGTTGATCTAAGAGCAGTATTTCACAGAGGCTCATACAAGGGAAGCTACAGAAAAATAAACCTCATCAATTATGTTAATTTGGTTTAGCTTTGATGTAGGTAAAAAACTCACTCGTGTGCATTATCTACTTCTTCATCATAATCAGTGATCCTCGATCTTCTTGTTCTGCAAACAGATATTACAGTGTTATTAGACACTATGTACACTGTGTAATGAGCGATTACCTATTAAAATCATATTCCAGCATTTTAAACCTCGTCATCTGCCACAGTTTTATCATAATGTTGATTACCACACAGTAATTTCAATGCATTTCCCTGTACTTGTAACAAAAAGCAAAAAAATTATGACCACACTTTCCAAAATCCTTTCATTTACATCTCACTCAGTCTCAGCCTCGAACAAAACTGTATTTCTGGAGTTGAATTTTCAAAAGCTTACATACAACATTACAAAACTGTTACACTAAACTCAACGACCTAAAATAAACTGGATATTGATTTACTGAGTCACAAATACTATACTACTATTAGACAACAAGTCGAAAACATTCTAACAGTTATTGAGACAAACCACTGATTAAATGTATGGAAATAGGCCAAACATCTGAGCTAAGGTCCAGCCCGGGTGCTGTCCCTCTATAAAAAGGGGTCACTTCTGGAGTTATTTTGTTTACAATGGATGGTCCATTATGGGCCCAGCAAATAATAAGCAAGTACGTATCCGTATGTGTATAAGCATGAGAGGACATTAGCTGTGATGTGGATGAAAACATGCTGCTAAATAGGTGGTTTCACACCTATCTTGTTTGGTCAGGACCTTTGGATTCTTCAGTTTGGTCCGATCCGAAAGAGCAGGTGTGAAAGGTGACTCGGACCACAGTCAGACCCAAAAAATGTCCAGAAAAGGTCTTGGTCCAGGTCAAATTGAACCATGGTTCGGTTTGCTTGCAGTGTGAAAACACCTTTTTTCCGATGGTTCGAACTTGGGATAAAAGTAAAAATGAACCACGGTAGCACACAGGAAGAGGGGGAGATGAAATATTTAGCTGTAATTTGGTCCAACAAAAAAGTCAGAAGCCCGCATAAAGATGCAGAAGCATATACTTTATTCTGAGAGGATGAGAGAGAGATATTGATTCTTCTCCATTCTAACGGACAAGACTACCCACCGAACCGACAAAAGCGGTAATATCAACTCCACAACTCCTCTACAAACCAGTCAAGGTCAACTACAGGGAGACGCAGCTCACGCACTCACATGATGACAGGACGTAGGCATGTCATGTAAAGTTCTTTAGTGTGCTCGCTAAATTGCAATGTGAAACATAAACACACACATCATTCTGTTTTGTGCTGTTTTTCTGATGTAATACGTTTTTTTTAAACTCGCTGTAAAAATGGCGTGTTAGCTCAACTTAAAAATATACTGACGTGAAAAAATTTTTAGTTTAGATTAACAAATCAATATTTTCCATCAATTTGTACCTCAAAAACCTTCAAATCACCTTCTGCCCTGTTCCACTGCTACAGTGTTGTTTACATGATCAGTAAAACAGTAAAAAAATAGAGTAATTAGAATACAACACAAAACCAAAGAGAAAACAATTCTTTACCAATTAATTTACATAAAAAAGTGGATTTTCCTTAATGCCAACAGTTAGGTTTCTGAGGTGACTGTGCTCTGATTGGCCAAGTACTCTTTTTATAAGAACCCTAGTTTTGATGCGTTGATGGAATAAGTTTACTCTAAAATGTTTCTGCAGTGGTTTTATAGCTTTATAGCCAAGTATTACAGGCACTCTCTGTGGTAGTAAAACACTATACAATGACCAGGGATATGAACAAGGTAAAATTGGAACATTTTCATTTCAGGTTGAGTTTCAGCCTAAACATTTATTTATGGACTTTAGCAGCTATTCGTTGACTGTTTTAAGCATGTTGGTGGGTTTTTGGTTAAGCACTGAGAAATATGTAGAAATGGTTTTTGGTTAAGCACTGAGAAATATGTAGAAATTACTGTCTGTGGTAATCAATCCTACAATATAGAAAATAGAAAGAGAGTATGCCTTTAATTTGATGGCAGTACCTGGTGTATCGTTATATTATCTCTTTATATACATTTCTATGGAGCCCCTGAGGGGACGTGTTGTATTTTTAGGTAAAAATCTGGCTCACACTAGATACTACGTGGTGAGCACCAGATACTTTCAGGTTTGCACCAGACACTATGTAGTGAGCAATAGATACTATCAGACGCACACCAGATACTATGTGGTAAGCAGTCAATACTATCAGGTGCGATAGTGTACTGGGTGCACATCTAACAGCATCGGGTGGTCACAATTTAGTACCTGGTGCGCACCACATAGAATTTGGTGCACACCTGACGGTACTGAGTGCTCACCACATAATATCTGGTGCACACCAGATTTTTACCTTAAAAAATACTCTACATCCCTTCATGGGTGCTGTGTAATTCATTTTTAGCAGTTTAGCAAAACACAGACCACTTAAAACCAAAATGTGTAACTAGTCTGCCACCTACAACACTGTACTCACGCTTCTCCATGGACTTCTTGTCTCACCTGTAATTTAAAACATGGGAGAGATTAGATTTGCATACAAACTGGTAGAAGTATGATGTATCTGTACCGCAGATACTGCATCTTAGCTTGTACTTACTGATGGACGATATGTAACGTATGTGATTTCTTCCTCTGTGAAAAAAGAAATATTTTGTCATGAGATCACTGCAGCTCTCAAAACTAGAATACAAAATATTAATATCTCATTCTGAATTAAGAAGGCTGTTACGTTCTTCTCTGTAGTATGTCTTGTCAGAAGAAGATGGCTTGGTGCCTTTGGCCATAGCCTCTGTAAGCTTTTTCTCATAAAGCTTCCTGGTGGAATCTAGAAAGAGAGAATGTCTTCATTTTTTACATTTCAGACAACAGTAACACAATGATTTCATAAGAAATGTCACTTCCCAGTTGCCCTAACATCAAGAACAATATCTGTCTCTACTAGATACATGATATGTTAGATGTAGATGTATACGTGTCTATTACCAACAATGGGTCCATGTTTGATCCCATACTCATCCAAAAGTCGTGACAGCTCTTCAGAAGACTTGCCGCTCAAAGAGGACATGACTGCAACTTTAAATCACAAAATATGTTTGGTTAAAACTGGGTCAGTTACATGCAAAATTGCTGCAGAATCTGTTTAGCAAATTGGAGAAACAATTCATTCATAAATTATTTTCTGTGAATCAGGCATGATTTATCTGCTATACAATAAGCAATTTAGATACACATATGTTCACTATGATACTGAGTATTTCACAGTATGTTTTAGGCCTATATCAGACTATGTTTTGTGATGTTATAAAGCAGCACTCTCATTTGTCTCACTTTGAATTTTATTTACATTTTATTTTAACGCTAATAAGGTACATGTTCTCTATGTGCACACAAAACAGCAACACTGAATCCTTTTTAACTGCAGTTTTGAAAAATGAATGGCATTAGCTATACTATCACCACCTATTGAGCAAAGGCTGAGCTGCACAGCTTTAACAAAAAATATCACGAATATTCAACTTTAAGTGACTTTCTTAATGTGGGTTCACTTAAATTCATTACTCGAATTGCAGTAATTTTTTTTTTATTAAAAAAACGTTAAAGACACAAACAGTAAGGCTCAGCTCAACAGTATGGGCTGAAGTTACGCAAACCACAAAGGCTTAAATCGCCATTTTCACACAAATAATTTAATCACCTTGGTGGAAAAGTTTAAGAAGACCTCAGTATGTGGAATAACGTTCTCACTTTAGCGAATATGATCCAAAAACGGAGCTGAAGCAAAGAAAAAATACTCCAGCTCAAACATCTGGAGCTGAAGCTCTCTGCGCATGCGCAGTAACACGTTAAGTTAGCAAAAGACGCACGGTGCTTAATACATCACAGAAATATAACAGCGGGCACTGTTTCTGAATTCGAGTCAACTTTTTATTAATAGGATGATGACCAGCAAGAAAACAAGGAGCCGAGCTGTGTTTATGGAGAATGCTGAATGTGGCTAGTTCGCTGGCTAGCAGATGTTAGCTTGCTGCTAGCTAGCTATCCAACGAGACCAGTCCGCCTCCAACAGAAGGACAAAAAGAGAGGGGGAACACGCGGTTTAATAGACTATGGCTATTACATGCTTCTTAAAGCTGAAAGTGAAGTATTAACGTCTAAAACTCACTCACCTGTCGGTGCTTTTCTGTCAGTGGTGCTAACTTTCGCAGCTAGCGCCTCAGAGCTGGGCGTGTGCGCGCGCTCCTCCGGCGGAGTGACGCTGCGGGAGACGCCCTCCGTCTGTGGAGCTGAGTGGGTTTCGAAACCTTGGAGCCTGAAAAAGAAAGCGCTCAGACTCTGCCATCTTACTACAGTCCTGGCACATGGAAACTTTTGGGAAACCAACACCGTTCCTGGCGTCGTAAAGCCTGAGTATGAGTAATAGCTACTACTCATACTGTATTTCTTTCTGCTGCGCATGTTTAGCCCTGCGCGGTCCTTCAGTTTCAACCTGAGCAAAATGAACTGTTCTCCATGCAGGTTTCAAACGGAGAAAGTTATCCGTAGTCTGAATTTCATTCACATATGCGAATATATAGTTTTTCAGGCTAACTGTTAATGCCATGGTTTAAAATATCTTTTTTTTAATACTGTATCCACATTTGAACAGCCTAAAGGCTAAAAATCCAGTGCAGACTGTCAGTAATATCTCTGTTTTTAACAACGCTAACTAATTGATGCATTTGTGCCACCAAAAACGATCTGAATAAAGTGCAAAAGTACAGGGACTAAAAAAAGGTTCATATTTGAATCACAGCTCTTCCTCAGGCACACCCCACTGACGACCACACCCTGATCGGTTCGTTTAAATGGGAAGTGAAATTTTTCACTTGTGCACTGAAGTTGCTGTTCTACCCTCCAACTTAGGCTGGTCCGGCTCCACCCAGTTCCCCTGAAGCTCCTTAGAGTCGTGCTGGACCTTTTTCTCTGTGTCACTCTCAGTTCATTTGCAGTTGTAAAGTGCCACTATGTCCTCAGTGGGTTAAGCAGCCTAAACCCATACTTCAGGGAAAGGGTTGTTACTGCGATGACTCAAGTACTAACCAAAAACAGACGTGCAAAAGAACAGGGTTAAAAAACGTGAAAGGGGAATTCCACCAGGTTTCTACATTTCTGCACAATTCAGTCTTTGAGATGTAAAGAATTCAGAGCGGTTTGTTGCGAAAACGTTCAATGTAGAGAACCACCAGCTCAGGTTTCTTTACAGTGGTGCTGATGGGAGTCAGGGGTCTCGGTGCAAATACAGCCATTTGAAGAGCCAACTCTTCAAAACAGTGAACCTACACATCCTCTGAGTTTTATATGCAAAGCTTTTAATGGTAAAAACAAACAGACATAAATAATTGTCCTACAACACTTTGCATATACATCACTGCCAAGAATGCATTGTAGCCCTCACTGCTATTAAAAGAGACACAGCTTCCAAACAGTTGTGGTGCTTTATTTTCCAGCTGTTGTCGGCCACAGCTACGCTGGAGGCTACATAATCAGAATTTTTCTCTCGCTAACAGCTCATTCTCTGATTCAACTCAGTCCACTTTCTGCTCACACACACAAATACACAGGGTTGCCAGGTGCGGTAAAAATATCCAGTCCAAAGTGTCCCACTGGAAGCTGAAACTAGCCCAAAATCTGAAGTATTCAATTGCAAATGAAACTGTAAGTCTGTAAATTGCATATTTACAGTACTGTGCAACATTCTGAGGCAATCAGAGAAAGTTATATGTAAATCTATTTATCTGGGTTTATTTGTTTGAAAAAAGTTAGAATAAATACAAACACATACATAAAAAATCTGTTGTGATTTTGTGTCAGTGTGTTTTCCAAACCTCTCCTCAAGGAAGCCCAGAGTTTACAGTTACCATCCAATACCTAGACTGAATCTCAAATAGCTCTCTTCTCCCTACATAATGCACAAGATACACCGATCAGGAATAACATTATGACCACCTCCTTGTTTCTACACTCATTGTCCATTTTATCAGCTCCTCTTACTATATAGGTGTACTTTGTAGTTCTACAATTACAGACTGTAGTCCATCTATTTCTCTGCATACTTTGTTAGCACCCTGTTAGTAACACTGATGTGGTGGTGGTGTGTGTGTTGTGCTGGTATGAGTGGATCAGACACAGCAGTGCTGCTGGAGTTTTTAAACACCTCAGTGTCACTGCTGGACTGAGAATAGTCCACCAGCCAAAAATATCCAGCCAACAGCGTCCTGTGGGCAGCGTCCAGTGACCACTGATGACTAGAAGATGACCAACACAAACTGTGCAGCAGCAGATGAGCTATCGTCTCTGACTTTACATCTACAAGGTACATCTACATAACAAGGTAGGAGTGTCTAATAGAGTGGACAGTGAATGGACAGTGTTCACAGGGGGCTAACAAAGTATGCAGATCGACTACAGTCTGTAATTGTAGAACTACAAAGTGCACCTATTTAGTAAGTGGAGCTGATAGAATGGACAATGAGCGTAGAAACAAGGAGGTGGTCATAATGTTATGCCTGATCGGTGTAGGTCTTAAAATATTGGAGCCTGCACCTAAACAGTTATAATATATAGTACATATATTATGTCTAACAAAAGGATTTGGAATATGCAAACCTGGCAACTCTGCAAATATACATCTGGGGCGGTTCCTAGCCCTGCCCTCTATAATAAGAGTCCATAGCAAACAAACCAAGTGCAATAAATGCTAGAGAACAAATAACCCCAAAACTAACATGCCAAAACAGTTCTTGAACACGCTGCATACATACATACATGCATATATACATCATCTAAACCGCTTATCCTTCTGGGTCACGGTGGGGTGCTGGACCCTATCCCAGCTGTCATTGGGCAGAAGGCAGGATACACCCAGGACAGGTCGCCAGTCCATCGCAGGGCTGAACATGCTGCAGTATTTTAAAAATACACTTTCAGCTATTAGGCAACATATTCATACCCATTTAGTGTAATAACTTTGTGAGGTAACTTTTAGAGGCATTAAACTCTCCAGACGTTTGACTCCTGTCACCACCACTGGGAACAAACTATAAAACAACGCATGTGTTTGTTTACATGTTTAATTAAGCAGAAATTTAGAAATTTATTTATGTATAGAGTAACTAATAAAACTGCAGTGGAACTTTTTAGTACATTCAGCACAGTAACTTGAGCTTGTCAGCTGCATTTTTTAACTTCTCTTTTCATTCTCTAAAATAAAAGTCAAAAGGTCAGAGGTGCGGCCAACCATGAGGCAGACAGAAATAACTGAATTAAATACAAAAAGGAATCAGTCAACGCTTTCACTGAGTAAAAAATAGATTCTTTGCAAATAAGTAAAAGTAGTATCATCTGAAAATATTCACTGAGATACAAATCCATTAATTTTTTTTACTTCAGCAAGTAACTGAGTAAACGTAACTAGCTACCACAAACGTGGTCTCCTACAGTACATCTCTTCATAATATATTTTTACTTTCTGGTGCAAATATGTAGGACAGAAAAAGGGAGCTGTTTAACAATATCAAAATCTCATGTGAAACTATGACTGCCATAGTTACCACAGAATATGGCTCAGAGGGCCCAGCTGAGACTGTAATTGCTGCGGTCTTTCCACAATTATTTTTAAATTCATAAATAAATTGAAGCCACCAAGTAAGCAATCTTAAGTCAAACTCATTACACATCATCTTAGGTTAGAGCTCAGTAAGAAATGAGTGGTAAATCAACAAGAAACATCTGCCATCTCTGACTGTATGCCTGTTTGAAACAACATGCACAGGATTGTAGGATCACTTCAAGCATGAGGAGACATTTCTGATATCTGAGACGGAGGCTTCCCTTTTCCGGTTTAAACTGAACTGGCCCTTCAGGCGAGTCACACTTGAATTCACATGTGAAGGAGAGAATAAGTAAAAATAGATGCTGTGCAGGAAAGAATTCCTGTTTATTTCTAGGACTTCTTGGTTATCTTATCTTGCACAAGTGCCAGGTTTGTAGGTCTACGCAGTGAGTCACCTGCATGCCAGTATTGGGTGTTGACCGGCACTTAGGCCCAATCCCATTTCACCCCTCGCCCCTACCACTTAGCCCTTAGCCCTCTGTTTTGCGCGTTCACGTCTAGGGTTAGGGTGTCCCAATTTTTGTTGAGATGTAGGGGTAGGTCGCAGTGTTAGGGTTACACGGCCCTCCAAACGGAGGTTTTTCAGAGGCTCACTCCAAACAGAGTGTTATCAGAAAAAAAGAAAAACCGGCAAGGTGGCTGCGCGAGCGACCAAAGAAACCCACAAATGTGAGTATTTTCTCCGTTAAAAATTACAGTAACCATCGTATTATCTTAGTTTAATGTCGTTTCAATGTATTATGGTCGTTTTCTTCATAACAAGCATAAAAATCGCTAATAGCATGCTAATGTTTCGGTAGCTAGCTAGCTAACTAACTTTCCGTTCCACCTTAAGTAGTCAGGCAGTATTGACGCCTGAAGCGCCAGAATGTAACTGCTGCACTATTTAAGGTGGAACGGGAAAATTCGAACAAGAAGCTGGTGAATAGCTGACTTCAGCTTCGTATCGCCAAAGAATTAGCGGTGGGCGATAATAAATAATTGTCTTATACCCCCTCTTTGAAGGCATATGATGCCCTAAATGTAACTGAAGCCCAGCAGCGAGGTCGATGAACTTTTCCGTTCTCTGCTGTCACTGAAGACGGGCTGGGTCGCCTACATAGCACCGGTAATAGCCCGTTAATGAAGCAATGTTTTTCTTTATTTATTTATTTTAATTTGAGAGTTGTCCCATTTCGTATGGCAAGATTTCAACCACTACCTCTTGTAACTCAGTTCCAAGGGGTTAGGGTGACACTCGAAAACAAGGGGTAGGGGTAAAAAGAAGAAATTGGATTGGGCCTTAGATCAGTTAGGATTCAAGGTATATTTTTGGACAAGTGAAAATAAGACCATAATGGGGCTCACTGGTGAACATTTTACCTAAAGCCAATAAACAATTAATGTTCTGAGTGTCTCTTAAGAATGAATGTGCTGCATGAAGCATGTCATGTGCAGTGTGTGAAATGATATTTGGATTATGAGCTGAAAAAAATACAAATAATTTAAGACAAAAACCCTCAGGACTGTAGGTACATTTATATATCTATTTTTATTCAAATGATCCAAGAGCTTGTGTTGAATCTTGATCATTAAAAGAACAAAACCAAAACAGATGAAATGTCATCCTGTTAGCTAGATTTGTAAAATGTACCAGTCAAAGCTACATCTTCGCAATGTATGAATAAACAAGACAAGCTGCATTTTTGGATTGACAAAAATACTTAGGACAACTTTATTGTTTATCAAAATACTGTAACAGTCTTACAAACATTGGTTCTCTTCTCTTAAGACAAGATTTTTTTTTAAAAGCACAGAGAATTGAAGAGCTGCTAAGTGAAATGCAAGTGATTTTTCTCCAAAGGAATGTTGAAACCTTAAGCGCTTTTGGATTTTATAAAATCAAGAATTCACAACAAAATGCGTCTCCCTTTCAATTCATCTCCGGCCCAATGGCAATGC